GCTAGGAGCTGGAACCAACTTCCTAGGGAAGTGGTGCTGGCTCCTACCCTGGGGATCTTTAAGAAGAGGCTTGATGACTACCTGGCTGGACTCATTTGAGTCCAGTCTTTTCTCCCACCCAGGCAGGGGGTCAGACTTGAAGATCTACAAGGTCCCTTCCGACCCTACTTCTATGATTCTGTGATTCTATGAACTAGTTTGTCTATGTACAACTAGCCTCTGTTGGATGGAAGCTCTATAGTATCCTGATCCCTGTCCTGTTAAAAGCAAATGGAGACTACAGAGAGAACTGGAACACGGGGGAATAAAAATCAGAAAGGCTCAGGTGCAAAATTACTACCAATTTGCTAGGGACATAAAAGAAAAAGTTCCTTAAATACAACAGACATAAAAGAAAGACAAGGAAAAGCATACATTTGTTAGTTAACAGGGAGGGACAGTAAATCAGTAAATGAGGGATGGCTCCAAGAAGGCCAATGCCTTCTTTGCTTCTGACTTCACAAAAAAAGGTTTAATGCGATCAGATATTTAACCCAATCATTTTTAATAGGGAATAGGACCACAGGCAAGGCTAGGGTACAAGACAAGCTATAGAATACTTAGATAAATTAAAAGGTTTCAAGTCCAAAGTGTTGATGAAATTCACCCTAGAGCACTAAAAGAACTAGCCAAAGCAATTTCAGAACCACCTGCAATTATTTTTGAGAATTCATTGAGATAATGGGAGGTCATAGAGGACTAAAGAAGAACAGATGTAAGACCTGTCTTTAAAAGCAGGACCCAGGAAATGATACATCAACCAAGCCTAATTTTAGTATTTGGGGGCGTGTCTACATGAGACATTTACTGTACAGTTGACTAAGCAGCTGCATAGTAAATGTCTTGGCATCTTATACTTGCCTCCCCATTAAGCTGGAGTCAACTCATTTACTCCACAACAGCACACGTGTAGATGCTGGAGGTGCTGGCTGGGGCATGAGGGTACTTTAGCGTGAGACTGCCTGCCTGAAGCTCTCTCTTGCCACAGAACGTTGAGCCAGCGTGGGGCAGCCCTGGGCTGGCAGGGTGATCCCCAAGGCCCCCTGCCAGCCAGGACTGCTCCAACCCAGCTCCACATGCTGCACATGAATAAATGGTAGAGCTTATTGCTCTGAAATTAAATACTCCTGGGTCCATATTCAAATGGTGGGCCCAGGAACAATACGCACCAGAGCAATAAGCTCTGCAATTTATTCATGGGCCATAACAGTACATTAAGATGTGCCCTGGAACAACAAGCTTAATTTTAGTATACAAGACAACGAAGCACTGATACAATCATAAGATAAAAAATAGTCAATGTAGATTTGTTAAGACCAATCACACCCAGCTAATCTAATATCCTTCTTTTACAGGTTTTCTGGCCTAGTAAAGCAGGATAACGGTAAATATTGATAAAGTAAAGTCAAGATAAAAATATTTATCTTGACTTTAGGATAAGGATACACTGTCCCGCCAACATTTTCTTAATTGAACTTGGGAAATATGTTCTAAGTAAGCTCACCACAATGTGGGATACAGCACAACTAACTAAAAACATAGGTCTAAAATGGACTTTAGTGGTTTTCTGTCAAAATGGGAGAACATTTTAAGTAGGATCCAGCAAGTGGGTTCTGTCTCAGGTTTAGTTCCAGACAGTATTTTCATTAGCAAGTTGGATGGTGGGCTAGAGAGTTAGAAGGGTCTGCAAGCACTTTGAAGGACACAACTGAAATAAATCAATAAATAAATTGGGGAGACTGTCAAAAATCAACAAAATGTAATTCAATAACAAGTGAAATATGTGCTTAGAAAGGAGAAATCAGGTGCATAATACAAAAATGGGCAATAAGTGGTGAGATAACCATTGCGCAGAAAAGAATCTGAAGGTTTTCGTGGATCCCAAACTCAGAATGAATCAACAAGGTGACAATATGCCTTATCTTTGTTAAAATAAACTTATAATAAGTTCTGGTGGAAATGTTATAAAAATTATAGTTATTCCTGAACCACTATCTACAAATCAAACTCATTCATCAAGACTTCCCATCCCCACCCAGTGCACACAGCAATTTACCTTCAATTATTTCATCAGCTGAATTAAATCCTTTCTCAATGTCTCCTTTTTCTACTTTTTTTTCTTTTCCAATGTATGAATTGTGCCTTATTGCATCCTGCAGCAAGTAAAAAAGCCCATACAAGTCAACTGTAATACTTCATACAGTCTAGTGCTTTTCTTTTGTACAATCATTATTATCTACACAACCTCCTCCTCCTTGCGTGATTAGCCAGATATTAGAATCAGTGAGATAATCATTGCAGGGTACAAACTTATTATTGTTGCTTGTTTTTTCTCTGTTTTACATTACCCTTTGCTTCCCGCCAGATTAGGAGCTGTAGCGTGTGTCTCTATATGCAACATTCAGGGCTGCTGAAAATATTTCAGAGATGGATACTGCTGGATTCTGATAATCAACCAGAAGAGAACATTGGCGAAACATGGATGCAAGATGCATGGTGCCAGATCTTCAGCTAGGGTAATCTAATCTATTTCCTGACTTTGATGGAGCTACACTGATTTAGACCAGTTGAGACACTGGCCCATGGAAGGATGGAACTGTGGAGTAAACAGTTTTTGATATATTCCTTTACTGAGTATTCTAGCCCTGATGTGAAAAGATCAGCCCCTGACTCAATAGACAAAAGGGGATGCCCTAAACTAAGGTTTACATGCTTTCAATAAATGCAAGATATTTCTATACTGTGCAGTACAAGAAGAAACAAACTCATCGCTGCTGCCAAATGAAAAAGCACCCGGTAGAGTCCTTCACACCTGGATAAACAAGTGAAAAGATTAACTCCTTAGAGAAGATGAATTCTTACCTCAATGGTCAGAATTGGCTCCAGTTCTTTATACCATATCTTCACTTTTTCAGCACCTCTTTTTGCCTGAATATCTGACTCTGCAACTACAGCGCAGATAATCTGACCCACACAAATCACCTGCAACACACCCAACACATAGCACCTGGTGAACACACTGGGCTGATTATATTTTGTGCAGTGAGCATATCTTGGGGAGAGGGGGTCATGTCCAGACACTGCTTACACTACACTACGCTACACTCCTTTAGGAATTTGTCTGAGTGCAAGCTAAATTTTTTTAGATGGGATGTGCTAGTGGCATCTATTGTCTTTCACTTACAGTGCCTTGAGCACTAAAAATACCACCGATGTCTATATGGCCTTGACTCAAGGAGGAATCTTCCCCAGTTCCATTCACTGGTGGGCAGCTTACCCTGATACGAGCAAATGTACAACCTCCACCAGTGTAAATCACTTTTCTGGTCTGTACTAGGGGGTTGTACTCATGCAGCTCCATCAAGGTTGGACTACTGATAAGTGCAATCAGATCAAGCTCATAAAGCAGACACAGTCCCGTGCTTGGGAGGGAGGGAGAACTGAGGTGCATCATGCCGGTGACTAGAGGAAAAGATGATGTGAAGGGGTAATAGAGAGGGATGAGGACACAACAGCAAGGAAGAGGGAAAGGAAAAGAGGTCAGAGTTGACTGGAAAGAGAGAGAAATGCAGCTGAGAAGAAACTGAAAACATAAAAGGAGGCAACACAAGATGTCCTGAAGAAAAACACGTTCTATCTAAATATTACTCAATGGTGGAGAGAGACCCAGGCCAGAGGAATTCTGCACTGGGGATGCTGGCCACAGGCAGGCCAGATGCTTGGCTCTTCAGCTAGCAAACTAGGGAACACAGCTTGTGCTGCAGTGTGTTCCCGCATGGGATATGTTCAGGGTCTGACCGGGCTTTACAGTCAATTTAATTTTATTTTTGAAGAGCATGAATCTTCCTTGTTCTATTTCTTTTTCACCTGAAAATGTCTCATTCCATAGCCATTCTCCCTTTTTCATGGAGGCTTGGCTTCAGTTTCCTGTGGTAGTCACAACCACTGTTTACTGAATCAGTTATAAAAGGGTGCTGCAGAATGCCTAAAGGCATCCTTCCCTGGCCTTATGCCCCACACACTGGGAGTCCTATACAGGCCCTGCCTGGCTGCTGTTGGACTAAAGTCTACTGAATTCATTTTCAGAGCAGTTTAATAGTAAGCAAAACACTTGCAAAATGGGCAAACTTCCTTCTTCATAACAAACCAGAGTTATTTCAAACCGGACCTCAGCTGGAAGCAATAAGTACCTCTTCTTCGGCAAATGCTTTTTCATTTTTAGTGCCATTTTCCCCTGGAACATCACTAGCTGTTACCACATCAACCACTCCTGGCACTGTGAAGGCCTCTGATGCATCAATTGATCTGGAAAGAAGAATATGAGTTGCAGAGCCACCGGGGGTGTTTATGGGAGTGCACTAGTATACTCCAATAAAAGTGGTTCCAAAAGCAGAAAAAAACACAGTCCTTTTTGTATTGCCACCAAACTGCTCCATATTGGGAGACCCATGGAAACATATTGTGGAAAAATTATCAACTGCTGTTATGAAATATTTTAAAGAGGGTACAGGGAGAGGAATAGATCAGGGAGGGGGAGAAAGTCAAGGACTGGCATAAAATAGCACGTAAAATTTTAGTCACTGTATATTAATGTTTCTAAATTCTCATTATTTCAGGATATACATTCTTCAATCCCCTTGTGTGCTAATGGCTCCATTCGTTCAGAACAGACTCTCCCAGAGGAAGATGCACTAGGGCACTTGCACCCCACTTCCTGATTCCTGTTCCACCTAAAGTTTAAAACCAGCTGCCTGGCAGTGGCAGCAACACGTACAGTCTCACAGTGCTGAAGGAATCACTTGACTTCATGGTTCATTATAATCTACCTGATTCCTTCTAACCTCTTCATTCCACAGGTGTTAATGACCCTCTCTCTTTTTAATGGTGTTGAAGTTCCACCAATCAAGCTATCCCTTGTTCTGCAATTCTGCTGCCTGTTAGCTGTTCCTGGAAATGAAGCTCCCATTTCACGGCCTTGCAGACTGTTTTTAACTCATTCCAATAAAGTTATATTAATTTTTGCATCAATCTCAAATGGAATAATTCAGCCCTAAGCCCCAAGCATATTAGTAAAGCTTCTAGTTTATTTTTAACCGGAGAAAAATATGTGTTGGTTTATATGTGAATATGCACCTCACCATCTGCGGCCCTCTTTTCAAAATTCTAGATCCACCCTTGGACTTCCCTGATGTATCTGCCAACACCTGACACACTTGCCAAAGAAATCCTTATCTCATGATGTTAGCCAGCCCAAGGGATGGTAGCAGAACAGTCCTTATGTGCTTGTGTTTGTGTATAGCTTACAATAGAAATGCTCAGGGTTAAGACACATTTTTCTGCCTTTGTGCAGTGCCAAGCCAAAGTGCCCCCTCATCCTGCAGTATATATATTACACAGCATTAATAATAGAAAGTTCTGAAATGAAGCTCCGCATTACCAGTAGGTAATTATTTCATAATGCAAGCAAATCAATACATCTACCAGCCGTGGAGGGGAACATTCTTGAAAATCAGGAGGTGATCAACACTTGACTGAGGAGCTGAAAGTGAAGCATCTGCAAGTAGCCTGTCACTAAGTATATATGTTTTTGCTTTACATAGTATTACCCAAGTTTAAAAGAATTAGCAGTTAATCCTCCCCTGTTTGGGCATGAATTGTTCTTTCAGGCACCTCTTTGTTCCTGGATTTCTTCTGTACCCTGCTGTACTTCAGCTCTGGCTCAGTAAAACCAATGAATACATTCAATTAGAAAGATCTGAGTCTGTTATGACTTCTACTGGGACTCTTTTGTTACACCTTTCATTTACTTACACAATCTTTGCATGCGCTTTTGAACTTTTGACCACGGCCAAAGAGAGCTCTCCATCTACAGGATGCATGTCATCACAGTAGACAGCTTCACCTGTGGCATGCTTAACTCCAGACTGGTGCATGATAGGATGTCCCACTGGATCCTGGGGTGGCTGTCCTGGATCTACATCCTGTTTAAGAAAAACATGTTATTCTAGAGCCACAACATTAACTGTTGAAAGCCTCTTTTACTAATACCTTCTGAATTCATTTGGCCAGTGCTAGAGCATGTCCTTAAACCCATGCGGAAACTGTTCAGATTTTGGAGCTTGGACATAAATAGATATTGACTCAAAACCAAAGTTCCAAGTAGTAATTTCACTTCTATTGCTTGTATTTAGGCTTGGCAGAATTTGATTTTTATTAGTAAATGTTGATAAACATTGATTTTGTCTCTCAGACTGGCAAAGAAATATTTCCACTGTTAGTAATCAAAATTTATAGAAAGGGGATGTAAGAAATTTGATGACTGATTGAGTGTATGATAACAAGGAGAGCAGTCATACAGATCCATGCTGACTGTAGGCTGTA